ACACCCTGGTGCAGGTCACATCCTTGGCTGTCATCACCTGCGGGAGAAAGCACATCATTAATAACAGGCAGCAGGCAATCTATCGAGCTACCGGGGCTCCGGCTCGAAGCTGACGACGCCTCAGTACGAGTTTAATTTAAGTGTAAAGTATTCGTAACGAGTACGCGTTCGGCATTTTGAGGGCCAAGCACGAATAACTATCGCATTCGTATCGTAACAGTATCGAGCGAGTTAAGCGTTCTGATTGGTTGGTTCACTTGAGCCGGCCAATCAGAGCGCCGAACACGCTCGATACTATTACGTTACGAATGCGATAGTTATTCGTGCTTGGCACTCTGATTGGCCGGCGCCAATGAAACAACCAATCAGAGCGCCGAACGCGTACTCGTTACAAATACTTTAAACGTAAATTAAACTCGTATTAAGGCGTCAGAAGTAGGAACGTGAGAGGGTAGCTCTGAGTCAGTAAGAACCTGGCACTCACTCCCGCCTCACACAGGCAAAGAGAAGTAGTTTAATGATAGACCGCTTCAAAAAAAGTCGTTTAATAACAGCATGGGTCCAGGTCCAGTGTATAACACATTGTGGTGTTGACTACAAAATGCTAATTTAGCTTAGAACACACGTTTATTTGAAGAAAGAGTTGTATGCCTCAAATAGAGTCTGTCAAGCGAGTCTAGTCCCATGAAAAGGGCGGTAAATTAAAAATCTTTCGGGTGTCAACACTGATATAGCACGCTGCAAACTTATTAATACTTGATTTTTTAATAAAAAAAAAAAAACAAATTTGAAATAAATGAAAAACAAAATCAATAAGTTTTTAGCGTGCTATACCAGTAGTATCAGATTCGCTTGACAGATTTTAACATAACCTGACACTGTAAGGTTAATATTATGTCAACACACAACACACACCAACGAGTTTAAAAAATACGTCTCGAATACGTAATAGGTCACTGACCTTCCATTATATTCGGCTCATTTAAATGAGAATTAGTCATGTTTGCGTGTCTACGCGGTGAGTAAAAATAAATAGTGGTTTTATAGTAATTTAGAAACATCATTATTTTAATTTTCCTCTGCACTTTTATGACCGAATGCATGAATATGATGGAAGCTTAAAAACTCCATAATTATTCAATTTATATTTTAAGCAGTTATACGTTAAGCGGCCATATTGAAAAGGGGTCAATGAACCCCTTCATAGTACAGTTTTTTTGCAAGGGGAGCAATAACAAAAGCGTGTAGGATCAGCTGCTTTAGCGAAAGCTTTGTGCAAATTCAGTACGCAACTGATTTTCATTTTGCACGTTTAAAATTGGAGTGCTACCTATAATAAAAATTATTATAATAACACGCACACACACACAGAAAGGTGTGTGTTATTATGGTAAAGTTAAGTAGAACGAAACGATTTTTTCGATAACAGTTTTGATTAAGACACATTACGCATTGTCGACTCAGTCAGCGGCTCAGCCCCCCAACGACCGAGATATAAGCGAGCGACCAGCGACGACCAAGTGCGTAAATACCTATTGAAACTAGTAAATTACAGTGAGTCGCCGGCGATTAGTCGACAGTGCGTAATAGCTCTAAAAGATCATATCAAATTTATTGCATTGCAGGTTTCATGTTACCAATACCAATGCGAATTCCCAAAATTAGAACTGTTAATTATACTTTGCCTATGCTGCCTAGGGATCAAAATGAAGACCCCATGCGTAGACAAACATTGTCATTCTATATATCAGAGTACAATGACTTTAACACGTACAAATACACTGTTATATAGTTAATTTGTATAGAATTAACATACTTAATTTGTTTTGTATCTAATCGTGTCGCACTATCGCAGATGTTTTTATACCCATATGGAAGCGTCACAATCTGCACAAGTGCTTAATTATATTGTTCTGTTTTAGTAATTATCTATTACTAGCTACTTCCGCGCGGTTTCTCACGCTCTGTTCAGTTCCGATTGGTCGTAGCGTGATGTTTTAGCCTATAGCCATCCTCGATAAATGGGCTATCCAACACAAAAAGAATTATTCAAATCAGACTTGTAGTTACAGATATTAACGCGTTCAAACAAAAAAACAAACTCTTCCGCTTTATATAATAGTATAAGATGTATGCGCAAAACTCGTAAACATGCATGTTATTCTTTGGCAGGGTTAGGACTTGCGAAGTATTTATTTTATTATACCTATGATACCTCCTATCAAAGAGGCAACTAATAGTAGGTAGTAAATCATTATTGCCTCGTTGGCCGAGTGGTAGCAAGTACGACTGCCGGGAAAGGGGTCTCGGGTTAGATTCCCGGTCGGGCAAAGTATTACTGATTTTTTAAAAACTCTCAGTAGTAGCACGGAATCTGGAATCGTGCCCGGTATATGGCAATAGGCTCACCCCCTATTACATGGGACTGAAAACATAAATAGTGAAAAGTGGGTGTACACTGTACATTGTACAGTGGCATAATGTGCACCTCTGCCTACGGCGTGATAATAGGCGTGATGTTATATTATGTTATGTAAATCATATCAATAAAAGATAATAAAAGTATTTACTAGGATCTATTACACCGTCTATTATATGATTAAATAGGTGCTAAATACATTATTAATAGGTTTAATAGGTCCACTAACTGTGCTATTGTTCTGTAATAGGCTAGGCATACTTGATGCAATCTGTGTTGCATTTACAGTTGCACGATGCATTTTAATGTTGATTTTATTGTAGTCACATAAGACATAAAACCTGAACTATTTTATTCACAAGGACAGGTATCTGGCGAGTATCATGGCCTTTATGATTACCTATCAATGGTTTTAATTCTGCTTAAAATTTATTAGTGTAGGTAAGTGCAACACCGGACGCTGGCAACCCAGTTTAATTATCTACTTTCCTTAATCAAAAATAAATGATTTCGACTGTTCAATACAATAATATATGAAAAAAAAAATCACACTTTTATTAATTGATTTCATGAACAACTTAATTTTACAATTTTTCCAGCAATTTTTTTAAGAAATTAATATTATTTTGACACTAAAAAAACTTGACGTCACAATACACAAACTCGTACAAAATTCATAGAAAGCTGTCGTTTTTGACAGTTCGAAAAAAGTATTGAATTTGACTATTTGTCGACTACCCAATTGTAACTTAGAATTGCATTTTAAAAATAAATACGTTATTTTCTCAGCGATACTATAGTAATGGATATAGCTAAACAAATTTAAGAAACAAAACATTAAAGTTTGTGTGAAATCAATTATTATCTACCACCGCGTCTAATTTTAGAGGTAGGTACCGTAATATTTTATTGCATAATTATTTGATAACAAGGTTTCAACTATTGGTTTACGGCCAATAAAAGTAATTATAAATTATTTTATTGAATTTTCTGATATAATAATCAAGTGTGGAGTTTGGACTGACATAACATAACATAACATCACGCCGTTTATCCCTGAAGAGGTAGGCACATCACGGCATTTAATGCCACTGACATCACGGCACTTATTACCACTGTCCAATGTAACACCCACTTTTCACTATTTATATTATGAATCCCATGTAATAGGGTGAGACTATTGCCATATACCGGGCACAATTCCAGACTCCGTGCTACTACTGAGATTTTTTTTAAACCTGTTTGGACTGTTGGACAACTAGTTTTGACTAAGTATAGTGTAGACCCAGTATACCTATTAACCTCTTGTCTGTCGATATGAGACACAATAGAAAACGCATTGTCTCGCGTAGATCTACGCTAGTACGAGTTTCTTTTTCGTTTAACGTAATCGATACGAGACGGCGTTCATTATAGCCGACCAATCACAGCGCCGAACGCGTACTCGTTACGATTACTTTTACTAAGGCCTCAGGTTAAAGGACTGGCGATTGGCCGATCAGAAACTTCGGGAAGTCATAGGAAGAGGAATATATTCAGCAGTGAACATTATGTAGCAGAATTTTTATTTTTGTTGAATGGTCATTGACCAAGCCTTTTTGACTACAATTATTATTTAACGTAACTTCGAAAAACCCAGTTCCGACAAGTTATTGTTTGCACATAAATTCTCAGTACTAAGCATACACATTTACCTACGTGACCACAAAAACGTATAACCACAGAGGTCATATATTCATACATCCACATCTCTTCCTCGTCAGTCATCGTGTACAAATAAAACCAGCTGGAGTGAATGATGAATGACCGAATAATTAATTAACCAATATATCTGTCCGCGGTACCATTCATTTATCAAAATCTATGCACATATGAATGCATTGTTCTGAAAATGGAATTCAGTTTGAAAATGTCACGAGATTTATTACTGTCATGATGACCAGTGTGTGTGTGTGCTGGAATATGCCAAAGTATTTTTTTGGACTTTCTAGTTTTGATGTATCTCAATAATAAAACGGAGTCTCAGATGAACAGCAGAATGCTCGCCACTAGACCTTATTTCGGGATTTCCAAGGACTAGTTTAACTAGGTATCCTTTTGGATAATATGTTTAGGGCTCGTACATACACAAAACTGCAATGCGACGCGATGCGAATTCGCAACGTAAAAAATTACGATGTGAATTGCTGCGATGCGATTTCGTGCGACAAGGCGTCTCCCAGGGTGACCATTCCTTCAACGACCGTCAACCCCTACTAAATGTATTTTAAATTGAAAACTAGGTCATGACATGGATCGTAAAAAAAGTTTACACTTCTGTTATTGCTTAGGAGATAGAAAAACAATCAAGATTTTCGGAAGATTATGATGCGTGATGCAAATCAATTCGCGAGTTCTTGCGAAGCGACGTCACGTCGCAGTTTTGTGTACGAGTCCTTTTATTTTCACAAATATATATGTTCTGCAAGTTATTAAAGATCTTAATCGGAGACTAGGTTCAATGCTGGACCTTAAAGATCTTAATCAAGAGACTACACTGCCAGAACTGATGTTGTTTATTGAGGTACTATGTCAGAAGGTTTTAACTGTCTAACAGACCTATTTCCATTATACTTACAGCCTTCATCTCTTCGGGTCCGAATTCTCTGATGTAGCTGACTTCCATACCGTCGGCAGCCTTCTGGATCTGCTTCAAGGTGTTACCCTCGAAGGTGCACACTGACTTCACCTGTAACCATTAGTTGGACGAATTTAGATATGAATTTCTTCAAGAAATACGTTTAGATTAGGAAGAATAAGATGCATCACTATTTCACCTATGCAATGGATTCATTTATACACATCAAATGTCTTTTTAAATAGTAATTTGATAGAAATTTATGTAAATAAAAAACAAGACTTATTAACGAAAATTTCCACAAAAAGACTAGCCTTTGAAAGTTTATTTTCTTTAATCAGAATTCGAAAAGAAAGCCATAGTGATTGTCAAAAGCAATTCTAAAATCGAAGTCTCCATCTTTTTATCTTCCACAACTTAAACAGCCCCTATAAGACAAGACCGCTTTCTACCCATTTAGAAGACGTTTAACCAAATTCTTCATAAGCTCCTACCTTGGCACCATCAGCTCTGTCCTCATCGAACTCCTCACCAGGCTTGAACTTGACTTCAGTGGTCTTGAAGGTGGATGACGTGACTAGGTTGTAGACGTCTCCCTCCTTGCGGAGCTCCACTGTCGGGGTGACAGCGTTAGCGGCCTTGCGGGTGATGAGACCAACGCCTGAGGATGGAAGAGAAGATTGGGTTAGAATTTATAATAGTGACAGGGGTTGAAGAACTGAAGATCGAGGTGAATGGTATTGACTGGGCCTATAACCTATCAAGAAAGGCAATGGGCTGATGATGAAGAAGAAAATATAAACAGACAATATGGGACAACAATTAAATAAGACATGTAAGACCTAAACCCTTTGAGTACCGTCATTATAGACACAATTAAAGAACAATAGGTCGCGGTCACCGGTGTCCTCGCGGTGTTTGACAGTTTAAAGAAGATCGTAATTATAATTAAATTGTTGTCATGTACAATTTCCAGAACAATGTTGTCTGGGAAGTAGTGGCTACTGAAAGGGGACATACAAAGTATTTATCTCTTACCCAAAGCTTTCATGAACTCATCGAAATTTACAGTGTCCACCAATTTGTATCGTTTTCCTATCCAATCAAATTCCAAAGCGGCGGCCATATTTTGTTAGCTAATTATTTACTTATCCTGCCGTACCGCACTTTACTAGACTAATAATATAATGCTTATAATTAATTTGTTTTACAACTAAAGAGCACACAGTGTTAGATTTATAGTCGCAGAATCATCAGAATAGAGAAAGAAATACCATATCTCGCGGGCTCACGACAAATTATGTCAAAGATTTTGACAACAACCAAAAAGGCGAAAAAGGTTTTAAGTAGTATGTGGAGTCTGTAGGTTCAAAGTCCAAAGAGTATAAAACCGAGGATACACTAGGGGACAGGTGTCCTGCTGCACGTGTCGCCAGCGACGTTGGGTGAGGTAGCGCGACGTTGCCGGACTTTGGTTTTGCTTTTGGACATGTCTGGCAACATCAACGTCGCTGTGAACATAAGGCGCGTTGTCGCCAGTGTTGGATTAAAATATGTCGGGGAAATCGGCAGGGCATGTCGCCGATACATGTCTTGCCTTAGGACATTTTGTCCCCTAGTGTATCCTTGGCTTGATAAGCCGTGTGGTGGTCTTTGGCTTCCAAGTTCCGAATACCCTAAGTTTTAAACCAAAGTAGAAAATTTGCCATCATTTCTGCTCTTCTTGAATGTGTCGAAGAATAAGGGAAGGGTACTGGAGAAGACTGTCCACCTATGTCCAACCGTGGACGTAATCGGACTGAAGATAATATCTTATATCTTTTATGAATAGGTATACTTTGGCACCAGGTAACGCATTGAGGAACTGTATATTAGTGTATGAAGTGGGTTTTGATTTATGTACTGATGGTATTTATATTTGAAGCCGTTGTTAATGCCAAGTTATTCTGGAGTTTGAACTGTCATAATAAGATAGTATTTGCAATTGCTGTTGCTGTGGTGTGAACACATAACAGCTGATGTGATGTTTATTATGATCATTGATAAAAAATTTATTCAGATAGAATATGTTTTCGGTGTTTTTACGGATTTAGCCGCGGAGGACCTAACGGGTTGCCGGGCCTCCGGTTCGAAGTGCAGGAGTAGGAACAGGGTGGTTTTTAGTCAGTAACAGTCTGACACTCCCTCTCGCCTCACCCGAGCGGGAGAAGACACTGGATGAAAGTACTCCCTCAAAAAAAAATGCTTGGGGATTTGACAAATTTCTATTTAAAGGAAGGCTCTGTTTTAAGAGTATGTATGTGTATTCCGGTTTATAATGATGGAGATATATTGTGCACCTTATAGAATTTTGGAAAAGGTACAGAAGGTACGATATTTTTCTTAACAATAAGCACCTGTCACATAGGAATAAAACAAAGTCTACCTCAGTTGATAGGTTTAATGCCCTCTTAAACCAATTAATGAAATGAAAAATACACTTTTTGCACCAAAAGAAACTTGCTGTAGAAATATGTGATTAACAACAAATGAATATAAAGACTATTTTCCTTCGCACTTTATTTATGGATTCGCATTAGTATGGATGTTATGCGATGCGCGCGCGGCTATCGATCGGAAATCGCTGTCCATATATGGCGGTAGTGATCCATTTGTAATTAGTTTATATGAATTGAATCCTTTTTGTTTAGGGGATAGAGATTTGTTTCCTTTGATCTGTCAGTTTATAAGTGTAGATTAATTGCTTAGCAGTCTTCTTTATCATGATACTTCACGTCTAGGAAACTTACATTCAGTGTTATTCCGTTTAGTGAGAGCAGAGAAGAATACATCTCACAGCTCACTTCTTCAGTACCATAAGGGCACTCGAGGCCCTTACCTGACCCTTATCCTCAGGGGCCTTATAGTACCGACAATTTCTACGACGGACACTTGCTAGATGTTCGGTTCGACTCTCGCACGGAGCAAATCTTGTGTGATACACAAATTATTGTTTCGGGTCTGGGTGCCATGTAAATGTGAATTAGTACGTTTGTAAACGCACCTAGACACAGGAGAAAAGCTTAGTATGGGAGAACGTTAAAAAAACATTTCAAACGGGCTCCGAATTATAGTGCGATCAAGGGCCCCAGCGTAGTCTTTGACGGCCCTGCCCTTCTTCATTCCGCCGGGTTAGTAAAAGGCGATCAAGAGACTACAAGTTTGAAAGAAACGGGGCAGCAGTGCTTTCTGATAAACGTGAACCATTTAAACGGCGACATCCATCTCACTGGCCAAACGTGGATATTACCAAACCGGCTCATTTAGAAGTGGTCCATCTCCCATCAGTGGAGGGTTACCAGTTATTGTTTTATTCTGGGAACTCTATAATCACCATGGCGCGGTTACACAGCGGTGGTGTATCAATGAAATAGGGCCGTTATTGTTCTAAAATATGCGGAAGAAATAAGTCACCCATGTTATGATACATGAGGGATGTCTATTATCTGTTTCCCAGTATCTACACAAAACAATGGCCATTTTGAAAACATCCTGATTATGATGAATTAGAATGTTATTGTGAAGTTTCTCTATTTTTTTTTTATAATATTTGATGGGCCGACGTTTGACCACTATCTCGCCTGGTGCTAAGTGATGATGCGGTCTACGATGGAGCACGTCGTCCCATAAGCAACCTATTCACTCGGGCATTGAAGAAACCCTTCTATTTATTAATAACTATCTTTCACCCATGGCATTGCTCCCCTAACTAAGATCACTTGCTCGGCAGTACCCGTGATGTTTCCTCGACCACCGGAGATCATACAAATATCGGTTGGTATTACAGTACCTAGCAGTTTCCTACTGTATAATCGTTTTTGTAACTACGTATAGTATGTGAACTTATTTCAAACGAATATGAATATCTCATGAATGATTCAACAACTTGATATCTATTTAAATTAGCTACTTAAACCTAGAATAATTAGGTTCAAAGTCGTCTTTACAGTGTTATATCTAGTTAGGTATAGTGAGTAGACTAAGAGATATAATCTCATTGTCTGCTCTCAGGATCTTAGAGATAAGAGGTGCATTATAATATGTAGGTAATATTTGTCTGGGTACATACAAAGTCACCTTTGGTTGGGAGACTGCATAAATATCTTAATACTAGCTTTTACCAGCGGCTTCGCTCGCGTCACAAAAGGATAAAAAGCCAGTGTGACATATACCAGTACACACAGCGCCATCTATACCAATACTTTTGTTTTTCCTCGGGAATATCAAATTTTTACGGGATAAAAAGTACCCTATTATTTAATCCGGACTTCTAACTTTACGTCTGCAAAACTTCAAAGCAATTGGTTTAGTAGTTACGGCGTTAAAGTGAAACAAACAAACAAACTCACTTTCAGATTTATAATATCTCATATCTCATTGTCTGCTCTCAGGATCTTAGAGATAAGAGATGCATTAGAATATGTAGGTAATATATTTGTCTGGGTATATACAAAGTCACCTTTTGTTGGGAGACTGCATAAATATGTTAATATAAGTAGGTTAAGACCTAACTTTATCTTTATCCCATGAGCTAAAAGCCTTGAATTAAAATGTAGATACAAAGTATAAGTTTCAACGCCTGTACAACATTTAAATATAAGTACATTTAATTGTAATGTCTAGCGACTCGACCCCGCAGTCAAACCATTGCAACGGTTTTGTGGGGCTTAGATTATAAAATACTTACCTGTGTGATATAAAGATAAATAAATAAACAAAATAAAAGTATTCTTCAAATATATTATAATAGCTGTTTCTTTAGCTTCTTATTTGTTGCAATGTAAGGAATGTTATCGTTAATGTCTCATTACTTTTTTTTCTGAAATAAGCCGGTAAACGAGCTTACGGATCACCTGGTGGTAAGCAATCAGCGTCGCCCATGGACACCCGAAACACCAGAGGTCTTACAAATGCGTTACCGGTCTTTGGGGGATTCAGGAATTGAAGAGATTGGGGAGGAGGGTCAATCTAGTCAAGACCTACTATTTACGATAAAATATGCGACCCACGTCAGAAGCCGGTACCGTGACTTAATCATGCATTTACACCATTAACGTTAACAACAGCTTTTAGCATACACTTTATAATCAAAGAGATAATTTACCAAACACTTGACGCATTGTTCCAGCATTGCAAGATGGCGATCTATTTTAATATACACCCATTATGGAACTATAATATCAAAGGCATTCTATAAATCTATAACCTGATGTACAAAAAGCAACCTTATATCAGATGATAATAAGATTTCTATCAATGACAGGTTCATTCCACCATTTCAAAGTTCGAAAAAGGAACTAAGGTATCAAGACATCAAAGCAGTCTGAAAATTTAGACTTGGTTTTGTAAAAAGCAACCTTATAATAGGTTATAATAAGGTTTATAATTTCTATCAATGAAAGAGAGGTCCGGTCTACAATGTTTAAGTTCGTAAAAGGAATGCCTGAGTCCCGCTGGGCTAACGCTTTGGCCCTGCACAGGAAAGCACGCGCAAGAATGTGGTTCGTCCAGTACCTAGGTGACCTAGGTACTACAGTTAGACTAGAAACTTCGCTCAGCCTAGACTAGCCACCCACGTAGATTATGACTAACTTCCCGCCATTTCTGGCTCCAATTACGAATTCCAAAGTTCATGTTACAATTTCAGCATAATGATCATCCGAGCACAAGAGAAGGGGGTTTGCCGCCGCCAAAACAAACGGATAATTTGCATGTTTAACATAGATATGATCGAATTTCCTATGAATAAAACAATATAGGTAATGAATTGCGAATCATTCACTATATAATTTTGTTGCGCTCCTCTGGACCGCATCTCATGCTGTCAATTATTAGCAACGCACAGATGAGATGAATCGATAAACAATTTCGCGTTCCTATTGGATGAGGCGAGGGCGCGGCGCGACGCCATTGGTCGGTGTCGCGTGGTGTGACGTCAAGGCCGACGACCTTTAAATTGGCGCAATTTTTCAATTTAGAACACAAGATGGAGGAAAGTGTTTGTCAATGAAATATCCATTTGTTTGAATCATAGAGGGACACTTATCGATCACGCATAGATTAAAAATAGAATGCATGAAAAAGTTA